GTGAAAGATTCGCAATTAAGATAGAACTATACTTAATTGCCTTGCTTGGTTGAGAAATAGGATTTGTAAATGCATTTGAGTTAATATTAATACCATAGAAATATAGGTATTAATTTAACTTGAATAGGCACATAAGAAATTGACAGATTCTTATGGGTATTATTAACCCTATAATCAATAACCTAGATAATTCAATAAATCATCTTTAAGATAAAAGTGTAGCATGATCTCTAGCAAGTCCATGACCCCGGAATATCTCTCTTATTAATTGTTAAAAGAAAAATTGTATAAATGGTGTAGTATTATTGTTAAATTACCAGTCAAGTTTTAAGTTGGTTATTTATGTATTTTGTAATAAATTAGCTTAAACCAATAATTGTTTGAGTTTGCATTAGTTGACAAGTTAATCACAAGTCCTCGTGGGAACGATACTTTACTTATTACTATATTACTTGTCAATTGCGTACACAGTGTTTAGGTCGCAACAATCGCACTTGAACACATGATAAAATGTTCCTACTGGACACTTCTGATTCAAATTTTGGAAAAGCTTATGCGTGTGTTCTCAAGTTTACATTATGAAGAATATTGAAGATAAGTTAACCACTTAAAATATGTCACCTCTTTTAATTATACACACGACACATCATATGTAAGCCTTTGCTGTAACAAATAAAAGTAAGACAAGTCATTTAAAAAAGAACCCAATCAATTAAGAATAAATTCTTGCTCCGCTGAATAAAAGATGATCATTCCTCGTGTGTTCAGGTGCTCAATTGGAACATGTCTTAATTCGAGTGTCTAAATGAAATATAGAGGTGCGTTTAAGGGTCTGGCGACTATGACTTATTAAATCCAAGATTGGCTTTCTCTGCACTCCCCCGGGCTTTGCCTTTGAGTGGCAAGCTAGGAATTTTTTCAACGGTGTTTAAATTTAAAACAAGTAAAAAAAATTTCGACAAAGAGGGTTTAATATATGTTATATACTTCTAAAACGCAATATTTTGCCTATGTACACCGTGCAACTTTTTGACGACCCTTATGATCATGTGGCTTTGCCACTGCCGCTAGCTACTTATATATAGCAGCTCATTCAATCGCTTAACCAAAAAAATAATCTATATTTATATATATATATAAAATACCATTGTGTACCAGTTAGAAAAAATAACAGTGAATCAGACGGCTTATTTGTGTAAAGAGCCCTTATCTTTATGTTCTGCACTGCATGTATTCATGCATGCTGCGCGTTCAAAACAAAATCCTCACGTAGACAGAGAACGGAAAGGCTAATTAAATTCTTCATTCGTTGAAATAGTGGAAATTCAAATTTTGGCGAGTAATTTTAGGTGGACATGGGTTTTTACATAATTACAAAAACTAATAGTATCCATTTTCTAATTTTGGCCCATAGATTATTTTCCTTATAATACCTCCTTAAACCCCTAAATCACAGACATTATCACCGCTTTACTTCCGCCGACGACGACGTCACCGCCGCCGCCGCCGCCGCCGTTGCAGCAGAGCTCAGACGCTATGGACATGGACATGGATGATTCGTCAAGCAACCACGACGAACATGAGCAAGATGTTATAATTGATAGTGACGAAGAAGATACAAAGAAAAATCAATTTATGACCAATTATAAAACAAAAAAATAAATTTGTGGTTGCAGAGCCAACTTCATGAAATTTTAATTATTGCTGTAATTCTGGGTTTAGATTTTGAATTACTCGCTAATATGGATATTTTTGGAATAATGGTTTCAGATGAAGCTGATGATTCGGTTCATACATTCATGGGCCATACTGGTATTGTACTTCTTTGATTATAATTAGATTTATGGCCATTTATAAGAAAATTAAATAAATACATTTGCGGTTGCAGAGCTTGATAATGCTGATGAAGAAGATGAAGAAGGAAAAAAAGGTTCAATTTCTTCTTTTGTTTTTTCAAAGTTTTCAGCTTTCCGATGTACTAATGAGTTACTTTTGGTTATTCATGTTGCTGCTGTAATTTTTTTCTTACATATATCTGCAAGCTGTCAACTTTATGAAATTTAATCATTGTTGTAGTTCTACAAGGTTGTAATTAGACCGACTATGTTGTATGGAGCAAGAGTGTTGGCCGGTTAAGAACTCTCATATCTAGAAGCTAAAAGTAGTTGAAATGAGGATGTTGTCGTTGATGTTTGAGCATACCCGGTTGGATAAGATTAGGAATGAAGTTATTTGGAAAAAGGTGGGAGTGGCCCCAGTGGAAGATAAGATGCGGGAGGCGAGGTTTAGATTGTTCGGGCATGTTAAGAGGAGAAGTATAGAAGCCCCAGTTAGAAGGTGCGAGCGGTTAGCCTCGGTGGGTAGTAGAAGAGGTAGAGGTAGGCCGACATGGCCCTAGACATGAGGGTGTGGAGGTCAAAGATTAGGGTAGAAGGTTCGTAGGTAGTCGAGCGTTTCTCTTTCTCTTACTCAGTTCGCTAGCATTAGTGTTAGTATGATATCTTTTATTCATAGATATCTATTACTACCTAGAGTTTGACTGTATTCTTGGATTCGATCTTATTTCATCTTGTTGTTATTCCTACTTGTTGCAATTACCTTTTCTTTTTCGATCGTTCTCTAGCCGAGGGTCTATCAGAAACAATTTCTCTGCTCTTCCAGGGGTAGGGGTAAGGTTGCGTACATCTTACCCTCCCCAGACCTCATTCGTAGGAAACTACTGGGTTTGTTGTTGTTGTTAATTATTGCTGTAGTTCTGGGTTTGGATTACTTATTTGGTTTGGGGCTTTGGGTTTATAACATTTTTTTAAAAATTAATTAGCACACTAATATGGACATTTGGGTTAATGGTACTGTCCTTCTTTTAGTATTTTTGTAATTCCATACTGAATAATGACAGTTGATATGAATACTGGAGGTTGCCTGATGTTGTGTTGAGTTCACAATTATGGACATGAATGAAGAAAACTCAGTTTGTTGGCCTTTTTGTGTGGGCTATTGCTAAGTTTTTAGCTGACTAGATAAGAAACTTTGAGTAGTCAAAAGCGGCGCCAAAGTTTGTTGTAGCTTTAAGTGCATTTTGATGTGGGCTTTTTAGCAAAAAAAGAAAAAAGACCAACAAAAATGCAATGCAAGAACATGTAACTATACATGTCAATTGGAGGAAGATTATGCTATAGCCAATCAAGTAAGTGAATCAAATATAAAGGTTGGCAGCCACATTTTGGGTGTTAATAGGAGCTCTTCGTAAAACTTACTTGGGTCTCACTGGGGGCAAAGAGCAAATCCCTTGAAAATAGCAAGGGGTAATAGAAAGGAGTGAAAGGAGATTGACAAATTGGAAAAGTCGGTATCTTTCATTGGGTGGTAGTGTGTATTAGACTCCATTCCTACTTATGTGATGTCTTTGTTCCCACTTCCAGCTAGAATGGAAAAGAGACTTGATACATTGAGAAGGAACTTTATCTGGCAAGGGAATAGGGTGAGCAAATTATTTCATTTGGTCAAATGGAAGACTCTCATACCTAGCAAGAGAATTGGAGGCTTTTCTTTTTGGAAGCTGTACATGGTTACCAGCATACTCTTTGTGCTGTGATTTTTAATACAAATGTTACTTTCTCAACGAAAAATATATGTTATGATTCTAGCGAGCGGATCTAGCTGTTAATATTGCGATCAGAACTTAATCTGGAAATATATTGCATCAGATGTTGCTCCTCCAAATTTTGGTATTTCTATACAGGAATTTTCCCACACATCTAATCTGATTATTTACCTTATAGAAGAAATTGCATTTGGTGTTTGTGGAATCTACTTCACATAAGATGGTTTTATCTCACCGGCACAATAATTTCAGATATGGAGGTTAGATGCGTTTTCATGGATCTTGTAGTTAATAGTTAGATGCATCAATGAGTTGATTGTAGTTGATGCCTCCTGATTTGGCATAGTCTATAATTAGTTTGTACTCTGATGTTGATTTCTTTTACCTTTTTCTTTTTCCTTTATAAGTTAATTGTTTCAATACCTTTTCCTCTTTATAGGTGAAGTATACACTGTTACCTGTAGCCCAACAGATGCTACTTTGGTGGCAACAGGTGGTGGAGATAACAGAGGATTTATGTGGAGAATTGGTCAAGGTGATTTTGCCTTTGAGTTAGAAGGTAATTAAGTCATGACTAATACCAAGAATATTTGTCTTGTCTTTGTCATCTGAATGGTTCAACTTTTTGTGTAGCTAATTAGATGAACTTTGAGATATGGTGCAGGTCACGAAAATTCTGTATCTAGTTTGGCATTTAGTACTGATAGTCGGTTGCTTGCTTCTGGGAGCTTTGAATTGAATATAAGAGTGTGGGACATAACTTCAGGTAGTTCGAAGGGCACACTTGAAGGTCCTGGAGGCGGAATAGAGGTGACACATTTTTTCATCCGCAAGAAATCCGATGTTGTGTAACAATTTGAGATCAATTAAGAAATGTGCGGTTGCTCAGTGGGTCAGGTGGCATCCAAGAGCACATGTGTTGGCAGGTTCAGAGGATTCTTCTGTTTGGATGTGGAATGCTGATAACATGGCTTTCATGAACATGTTTTTAGGTCATCGTGGTAGTGTAACGTGTGGTGGTTTCACTCCTGATGGTACTTCCTTGTTTCTCCGTTAAAATTGCTCGTCTTTTTCTTCTTTCGAGTTGAAGTTACATTTTTTATATATGCTTGCTCAGGTAAATTAATTTGTACGGGGTCTGATGATGCGACTCTGAGGATATGGGACCCAAGGAGTGCCCAAAGTATCCATGTTGTAAGTGGTGAGGTTTTTGCTTTCTGGCTGCTAATATCTTGATTTCTTTTCCATTATGCATTTCAAAATCAGGTGAAAAGTA